GATAATACATGCATGTTTTGTATGTGAAACATTACTTCGGTTGTTGAAGCTTGTGTATCAGAATCTTCTAATTTCTATGATGTATGTTCATGTCCTTCAGCTATCCATTGCAGCAAATTCCAACTGTTCCTCCACAGTGGAATGCAAGAGTATGTTTACCTTCCCCAACATTTGCAAGATTTTTAATAATTGGTTGAAAATAATTGAAAAGGTTTTATTCTTCCCAGGATGGCATGACTGGTATAAACTTTGGAGGAGCTACACAATTGGAACCAAATATTCGTGCCCCTGCAAATGCTTTGCCTCCTTTGCCAGGAGCTTCTGATGCGGGTTTGTTTATATTTTGGCTTTAAATATATTTCACATTTACTTTATAGAATCTTTTGTCTTTAGCATTGATAACGTTGGACATGTGAACAGTTGATTGATTTTTCTCTTACAAGTCACTCAACATGCATTAAGAACAAATCCATTAGAAGGATAAATGCGCATATATCGAAGAGGACTGGCTCACTTTTAATGTGCAGCAAATTATAAATCCCTTCTATTTTGGATTATTATATGTGTCCCATAACTAGGTTTTGCTGATGTACTTGTTAGTTATTAGTCCTTCCAGGACAAATTAAACATTTCTCTGCTTTAGTGGGAGACTAATAACAGACGCTCTGCTGCTCTTGCTATCAGGCTCTGCATCAAATCCTTTTAGCCAAATGAAGATTGTTTGATTACTATCTTCCTATAAGCATGGGATGGAGAAGTTGATATTTTGAGAAAGCTGCTACTTAGTTAGTTTCTATATTTAAGAAAGACAGTCATGCAATGAGAGAGGGATCACCTATCATCTTTGAAAATGATGAAGAGGCATGAACAATCTGTTACTTCTTCATAATATTGAGCATTTGACTCCCTTGTAATACCAGCTTTACCAGTGACTACACCCTTAGTGTTTTTGTGTTGAATAACTTCCGATTCAAACATTTCAAAAGGTATTAAGCATTAAATGATAGTGGTTGCTTTCTCCTGATTATTAGATATTTTTCGCTATTTTCTGAACCAAATAGATATCCGGAGAAAAAGCTCTTCAGGAAGTTTGTTATTGCTTTTGCTATTGGTGGAGAAAGGATGCAATACTATTGTAGTGCACTAGTCAAAGCTTACCACGACCATGTAGATGTGGTCTTGAGTATCTATCTTTTACCCGTAAAGTAATGGTACATTGGTAGATTCAGGATCAGGGGCTTGAAGCGTTAGGTTTGAGACGATATAGTTACATCTAGAACGATGTATGATTGAAGTTATAGCGCTAATGGTGATAATATTGCAACAATGCAATTGGTCCTTGTTGTGTTGGAGAACAAATTAAATTGAACTCTTGAAAGTAGTCTTTTTATAGGTGATTTAGAAGGTAAATCCACACGGGGAACACAGAAGAGACAGAAGTTGCGATAGTGATCCGTATCAAGTAATAATGCTTCTATTGGAAAGTTTGTGGTATTGCTTTGTAGAAAAGATGAAGCTGGAGAAATGCATGGTCAATCTCTTAGTTAATTTTCGAAAGACTAAGATTCCTATTGGCGGTCATATTAGGAAAATTGACCATTGTGGCTTGGACTAACCTTTCACAGACGGGATTAGCTTTCCACCCTTTATAGGCTTATTAAATAATATCAGTCTTTGTTGGTCAGTGAATAAGCATTTCTTGGGGGTAACCACATGAGTATTAAAACCAAGCAAAAGACTATATCTTTCGTTCCTACAGCGGATGTTTATTCAGGAAAGTGGTTTGTCTTAGATCTTTTTGGAAGGTGGGAATCCTTGTTTGATTTTTTTGAATATCCTCCTTCCTTGGAGTAGTACTGGGGAAACCTAGATTCAAGGTAGGAAGAATCAGAAACAGACTCGAAAAAGATGAGCTGTGTCCTGGAGTAGCATGCATATGATTGAGGAAGATTCAGAAATTCAATATTCAGTTGAAGGTAAGAATAAAGGGAAAATGGGAGTACTATTTTTCAAGGGACGGGAAATAGCTCCTTGTAGCCTGTTCGACATCTTAAGGTGGATAGGAGAGTGGAAGAGAGTTCCCTAAGTTGGTAAAAGGGAAAAAAGATCAGAATTCAGTTCCCTTGAATTCCATAAAGGTTACTAGTCTTTTCTACTAGAAGCTCTGAAAACAAAGATCAAACACAAATAATGAAGTGTTCACACTGATAGCTGCTCTGTTCTTACTTCACTGCCTGTTAGTCAGTGGTACAGAACCAGCAAGACCTTATCAGCAAAGAGAAAAGTAAAGGATCCACCTAAATGGGAAGCTTGACCTTTTAAGGTCCTTCGCGCAGTCACGTGATATCTCATAGAGCGGCAAGAATGGCTTAAGAGCTGCCAAAGACTTCTCAACTTGAGACCTGACTTTTGTGTCGTTGAGCTAGAAACGATCCAAATGGAATTTCTTGTGACTGCAGAAGACTTCTCAAATAGGGACCTGACATTTATGTCATTGAGGTAGAAACGATCCAAATGGAAACTCCTGCCACAAAATTCTTCCTTCATATCTTGTCATTTAGCTGATCTCTCTTCCAAACAAGCTCAGATAATGAGGCTCAGCTTGAAGCCATCTTAAAGTGTCTAAATCCATTGTCCTTAACGTTGATCAAGTACTACATTTTCTCAGGTATCCTCCAGTCAAGGGAACCTATTCAGAGTTTACTCATTTGCGAGTGTCTAAAATCATTTAATCTAAGGTTATTCCGATTTCGGCAAGGTTTAATTAGAAACTCAAGGTACATCTATGACTACTACTTGTTGGGGTGGAGAAATACATAAACCTCCAGTTAGGAATTCTTTCTCTTTCCCTTTTAACCATTTTAAAAAGTGTGGAAAAGCAAAGGAGTATATACCAAAGCGGAAAGCTTGTATATTTTCCTTTTATACAAGTCATAATAAATGTGCCCAGCCAATATAAGCATAAATATAAATATTTTGTAATGCAAATATGGTGGCGCCTTCTCCTACGAATCTTGCCTCAACCACTTTATTGGATCAATAAAGAGATAATGAATTTCAAAGTGACATTAGCTGCGATTAGCATGTTCGTGATCATATTTTAAAGAACATGGGCATAAAACAAACTTTTCTTCGACATGCATATAGCCCTATGCTCCCTCGTGGTATTCATTTGGATTAACTGTGACACACCAAATATGTTTATGAATCTCCAATCATTCTTTTTTGATGAAATTCGATCTTTTCGAGGTTGCAGAGTAGTCATAAATAAAGGGTCCCATCATGTGCGATTTGACCAATCTTAGCTGTGATTAGCATGACCGGGTCATATTTTACAGAATATGGGAATAAAACAAACTTTTCTTCGACATGCATGCCCTATGCTCCCTTGTGGTATTCATTTGGATTAATTGTGACGCACCAAATTTGTTCACGAATCTCCTAATCTTACTCTTCTTGGTGAAATCCGATCTTGTCGAGGTTGCAGAGGAGTTGTCATAAATAAAGAGTATCATCACAGGCGATATGACTATTAGATGCAGCAGAAAAAGTTCTCCTCAACATGTCCTTGCTCAGAACTAAAAATCCTGAACATCGGCACTCATTTTGTAGGTTCATAGGACTTTCTCATTCATCTTAAGAGATCATCTATCCTACAATCTACACCACCAATTTTAATAAAAGAGTCCTACTTTCTACTTTAGCTTGTTCCTAATGACCTTGGACCTATTCCCTTACATGTAAAGTGAGATCTTGATCCCATAAAATTGAAGTACAGTAATAGCATTTCATATTATTTTTAAATACTTTTTCACATTTCAAAAGGTTTTTTCTTTTAACATTTCTTCTACTAGTCCTAATATGGTAATCATTCAAGTATTTTAACTTTACTAATCACGCTCGGGTCATTTTCGAACCGAAATATATAGCTTCAACTTGAGTGTGCCTAAATATATTGGTGAGTCATGCCACCTTGATAAAAATATTACCCGGACTATATGTAATAAGAGCTCGATCGTTTTTCCATCTATTTTCTAACCACCCTAAGTTTCCAAATTGAGTTTCTTAACCTTGGGCACTAGTCCAATACGATGATGGCTAGTATGATATTCACTACGGTTCTTCAAGCAAGTTCTTCTATCGCACTTATGCGGCACCTACTTGCCTAATACGAGACAAGTAACGGTGTTAACCTCTCCTCAAAGAAGTGATGACCTCTTACAACTTGTAAATTGCCATTACTCAAGTTCACATAAAAGAGTAAAAAAGAGGACGAGGGATTGATGAGGGCCGTTTTAGCCTTTGAAAGACCCTCATATAGAGCTAACATGACCTGCTACATACAAGTATTGCCAAATCAAGATGGCCAAAAGGAGGACTACCATGGGAAATGTTGCCCAACTAGCTAACATAGAAATAGATTCTCGAATAGCAGTTGTCTCTACGTGAATCTCTTCTTGACCTAGCCAAGCCACGTGGACACCAATTAGGATAGAAACTACGTGTCATAGATTTATAAATGTGGCTTGCATGGGCCTAAGGTGGCTTTGCTCAATTAGTTAAGGCTATAAAGTGAGCCGTATTGTTCGGAAATACAACTTAACTCGCTTAATCTTAGCTTGTCTTTTTAACAATTCAGGCATGTGTAACTTTAAGGTCAACTTATGTTCATGAAAATAATTATATTGACATAAGTGTAAACCTAAGTTGCTCGGACACGGGTGCAGTGTCCGACAGGTGTGCGGATCTAGAGGTCGGATCCTTCGAGATGTAAATTCTAAGATTTGGGAATGTGGATCCTAGTACGGATATAGGTGCGGGGATCTGGCTAAAAATAATTCAAAACATATAAAAATATCTCTAAATTATGAGAAATTTTTGTGGAATACTTACCTATAACTCGTCAAATGTGAATTTCTTCATTATTCTCAAGTTGTAGGCATGATTTCTTGATTTTCTTCCATTCTCGGATTCTCCTACAAGTTAACTATTTTACAGTTATCTTTCATTTAAAATTAAAATGTTAATTTTATAATTTAGATTAGATCTCTAATTATTAATATAAAAATAAGAGTTAGTGTCTGTCAAGCTTTCCCAAATTCTCGAAGGCTCCGTCTTCCCCATTCTCAATTGATGCTCTCTGCTGCTCTTTCTGCCCGATCAAGAGGAGAAGCAGAAAGTAAACAATTGATTTTCTAGATAAGGTATGCCTTTTCTTCAAATTTACCTTAGTTTTGTTTTTGATTTCGGGACTCAAATTGTATCTTGTCTCGAATTTTTTGTCCGTCGTGGTAAAAGTACCCAAACCGTTTGACCAGATCCCACACCCACACCCACACCAGTGTCATGTTGACACGGGTGCGCACCTAAACTGCCGTGTCGGAGCAACTTAGGTGTGAACCCCATTAAGAGTTTTCTTTAATGTTACATTCGTAGCGAATAAAAAGATTATATAGATATTAATGTGAAAATATTTTCCTATTTGATTCTAAGATGTAAATTTATTATACTATCTGTGTGTGTGTGGGGGGGGGGGGGGGTAATTTGAGCTTGAACTCGAGTTCGAGGTTATTAATTAGCTTGTTACTATATTAAGGCATGCTTGAACTTGTCTAATTTATTTGAGTTGAGCTCTACTCCAATTTAGAGAAAGAAGTGAGGATCCATATAGCCGACCCCAACTTGTTTGCGACTGAGGCATAGTTGTTGTTGAGCTCTACTCCAATTTGAAGCTAGTTCGATGTTTGAGCTTGAGTTTGAACTCGACTTGTAAAGCTCAAGGATGAAAAACTGAGGTCAGCTTAATCAGATTAGCTGAGGTAGCTATTGATGACTCTCATTTCCTTAGTGATTATGCCAATGGCTAGTGAGGCATTAACTTTAGTAACATCTTTACAACTAAGATTATATATGACACACTTCCCATTTGGACAAAGATGCATGTTGCAGGTTAAGTAATAAAAGGATGAACATATGGCAGCTTAGGAATAAGATCCACCAGAACAAATATACAGTGGGGGCATTCAATAAAGTTCTGAAAATAGAACTCTGATTCAATGCACTTTTCTTTTGCATCTTTTTAACTTTTGATTTTTGAAGATGATGCTCTGTGTATGCAATTGATTTCCGTTGGTTTGCTGACCAAGCTTTTACTGCTATGTTTCTTTGTTCTAGTTCCAGTTTCACTTTGAAGATTCAATTCATTATCACTGGAAGTTGTCATAGAAAAACACACTAGGCAAACTGACACGGAAGGAAGTAATAAGCAGACTATCTTAAGACTTAGATTCAGCAAAATAATCAGTGTGATGAGTGCTTTGCACTTGCATGTTCTCTTCAGAATAACCACCAGGAGAAGTTCTTGCAGTGATCATATAGATGACATTTCAAATACTTTTTAACGATAGGTTGCACAATGTTCCCAACTAGCTTGGAATTAAGGCTTAGTTGTTGTTGTTAATAGATTGTACAATGTGCCATCATGTTAGTAGATTAGCCAATTTATTCCCTTTGATATTTCTGTTTGCATTTTATGCACTTTCAGATCTCCTTATCTTGCTCTTTTTTAATTTTCAAATTTCCTGTGATCTTTTTTTTTGCATTGTACCTGCAGGGAACAACAGGTTTCTCCAACAATCATCTCATCAAGGATGGCCGTTAGCTGTGAGTGTCTTGAACTTCTGCATCAATAGAAATGTATAGTCCATTATGGTGTTTTAGTTCGGGTTCAAATTTAAGTTGATTCATTCCTTTTATATTCAACCCAGGGAGTTGGCCCAGTTCCCCCTGTCATTAGCCATCAAGTAGTACATCCTAGTGTAATAGTACCAACTCAAAAGGAACAGTTTTTGAGAACTAAATTCTCTCCTCAACAGGATGCATTACCAGAAGTCGCAGTTCAAACGTTTGATAAGCTCCACGTTCCTGCCCCTGCAAGTTCTGGTGATTTCAATCGTGTGCTCATTCAAGCTGGATCGAGTGGAATAGATGCAGGAGTAAGTTGAATTCTCAACTAATCCTGTCGCTCCTAGTGATTGTAGCATGCTACAATTATTTTAGCCGTGAAATAGACCATGGATTGGTTTTCAGGATTTTATGTTCTGTGATTGAGATCTTTTTCCTGCCTCACTATTTCTTCTATCTGTCTTCTTCCGGTATTGATCAGATGCTTGGTGATAAAAATAAAAGAACCCTGAAGAATTTACCAGTTGACAAGCAAATATTAGCTCCTATAGGAGGAAAGCAAATGAAAGATTCTGGGAAGCAAATTGCAGTGCAGGAGCAAGCGAACCAGCTGAGATTGCAGTCTTCAAATAAGGTTGGTCTTAGATCATAAAGCAAGTAACTGATTTTGATTTGAATATCTTCAAATTTCAGCAATATTTTAGCAGTACAAGACTTAATGGAGACATGTGCATCTTCCCCTATTTGGCGACTAATTTGTTTACATGTGTTTTGAATCAGAGTGGCAGAAAGAGGAAAACTTCATTGATTTCTCTGGCAGCTGTAAGATCATTTTCTGCATCTACTTCTTAAAGCCCTTCATGTACTGGTGTTTCCATTTCACTCTGCCGCTGATGTTTGCATCTTTTTTTGGGGATTGGACTTCCCTTTCTTAATTTATGATTGGACTTCCCTTTCTTAATTTATTCTTGTCTCTGTCACCTTAATAGTCACTTGGAGGAATGAGTATGACATGTCTATATAGTCTTCGTCAACTTTATTCTTGCTCATTTAATATATTCCTGGGATGTAGGTTGGGAAAGAGAAAGCTACTATAGATCATATTATGAATGGCAGTAGCGACAGCTACTTATCCCGGGGAGATGCTGGTCTGATTGCTGCAAGTAATTCACTCGCTGCATTGAGGAAAAGTATTGCTGCTTCCATTGAATCTGACCGGAAAGGTAGGTTACAACAAGCTTAATGGGTCATAAGAAAAATTAATATTAAAAAGATAGTAATTTAGATAATTGACAGTCAACAGAAATTAATCCTCCATTAGGACTCCCTGGATCATTTTTAACAAGTTTAGATTTAGGCTCTGATTTTGAACTGTACATAACCGGTCTCACCTTTTGTTAGGTTCTAACCTCACCCAGCTAGGTCGTGCGTCTAATTCTCTTATGTTCAGGAAATAACATTATCCCAAGCAAACCCAATCGTGCTGGTTTTATTAGCATTATCCCCTGCTTCATTCTTCCAGAAGCCACTAGTGTTTTAGGGGACTAGTGGAAGATTCATTGCACATATCTGAAGGTGTATAGTTAATGTATGATATTTGTGCTTTGTCATGAACCTCTTTGCTTAAAAGCAAATAGTGATGTGGCAGCTGCTCATGGCGGCAAATAGATGGTGTCATCTGTAAGTTTCTCTTGTGAAATTTGCAAGATATATTGCTTCAGTATAATTGTATCTTAAAACGGGAAAAAAATGAAAAGAATGTGTGGTGTCACATTTAGGGTTTGAGATCAAGCACTGTAGCTTCTGACTTTTTGAGGCTCTTACCCTGATGGATAAATTGTTGGTTATCAGCACAAAGGATAATTGACTTCATATTGCTTTGCAGGCATCACTATTAAAGAGATTGGAAGCCTTCACGCAACAAAGAGCAAGCTCCTATGTTGCCACTTCCATTCACAAGGAAAATTGTTAGCTACTGCTGGTCACGAGAGGAAGGTTTGTCTTGCTTATAAAAGGATTTTTAATGGGAGAGCACTTATGTCAATTTCTCCTGTTAATGAACTTGTACGATCTATGTTTAGGTTGTAATTTGGGACGTGGAACATAGTGATGTTAAATGTGGAGAAGGTCATGCTCATCTCATTACAGATATCCGTTTTAGACCAAACTCAATGATGTTTGCAACATCCTCTTTTGACAGAACTGTGATGTTATGGGATGCAGCCAAGGTACTACCTCTATTTTCCATACCAAGTTCTTGGCAAATGAGTCTTTCAGTTATTTCTTTTACAAGTTTCATCCATCTCAGAAATAGCAGTCAGCATAGTCAAATCAACCAGGATATGTATTCACTAGTTGTAACTTCTACGATTTCGTTGTTCTTGGTCAACATTATTTCTTCTAATTTCTATGCTATTATTATCCTGATTGTTTTTCTTTTACTTAGATGAGAATCTATATTCTTATTTTAGCAAGCAGCTGCTCAGACTATTGTCAATTGGCGTTTACTGCCACATTCATTATCTCTGCGCTGAGGATAAAAGATTTATCACTAATATGTACAGAATCATCATCTTGTTCTGTCTAACACATTTCATTTGACTCAATATTTGAGGAACTTGCTGTTACCAAAACATCTTTTGCAGTCTCTAGACCTTCAGAATATCTTTTTCTTCTTCTTATGGTTATCAGGACTTTTCTAATAATGATAACTGTCTAATATCTTGAGTTTTTTCCCTTTTTCTTCTGTGTCTATTACAACCATGATACTGTACCTGTTTCACCATTTTGTCTTAATCCAGCCAAGCAACCCTTTCAAAAGCCTTGTCGGGCACGCTGAGCATGTGATGTCCACAGATTTTCATCCAACAAAGGCCGGTCTCCTCAGCTCTTGTGATAGCAATGATGAGATTAGACTGTGGGATGTCGACGAGGGCGATTGCAAACTCATTTTTAAGGTTGGTGTCTCTACTTCTTTGTTTTTTAAACATTGATGAAGAGGTGCCTCTACTTGACATAGGAAGGGCCTCCATAATTTGGTATTACCTGTTTTTCTGTTCTATTTCAATTTTGAGCTTACATATCTACCTGATCTAAGTCATCTTCAAATCGGTTCTCCTGAATTCCTGCATTTAGATTGTGGGAAATGTTTTTCTTATTGTTCTTCTTACCTGCGAGCAATTTCAAAGTTTTCAAGATCAGTAGGCCTCAACATGTACATACACATGCGATAGTTTAGGAAATAAAAGGGTTGAGGTCATAATGTTATTTGAACCAACATCCATAATCACGTTCAGCGGGGCAAAGTACAGTGTCTAAACTAAGTGACGTTCTAGAGAATTAGCTATTATCCATTCACGAAATGTTGGTTAACTTGCTCTTGGTACAAATGCAGGGAGGTAGTAGACAAGTTAGATTTCAACCTCGATTTGGGAACTTATTGGCAAGTTCTACAGGAAATGTTATAAATATATTTGATGTGGAGACTAACAGCATCCAACAAAAGTTCGAAGTAAGATTGTCTATTCCCGGTCAAGCTTGTTTTAAATTTCTACTATGCTGCAATACTGTATCATATCAAAGTGGTCTCCTTTTCTTTGATATATAGGGTCATGTCAGAGATGTCCGTTCAATCTGTTGGGATATGAGTGGGAATTTCCTGGCATCCGTGAGCGAGGATAGTGCACGGATATGGTGTGTTAGCGGGGGAAAGTGTTTACATGAACTTTGCTCCAGTGGCAATAAGTTCCAGTCATGCACTTTCCACCCTGACCGCGCTCAACTCTTGGCGATTGGTTCTCATGAGGTATGCTTAACAGAATTTCTGCAGAAGCTTTGAGCTCGTAGATTAAGTTCTTTGTAGACTTGGCTTGATTAATGTCTCTATATAGTTGCACAACAACAAATGTAACCTAGGATTATTCACATGAATCACATGTAACCATCTCAAAACGTGTTTCAGATAACTTTTTAGATGATCTTAGATACTTTTAATATTTCACGAGGGGGAAGTAACTTGACGAGTGTTGTTGCAGTTACTGGAGCTGTGGAATCCAATGTACCAGAGCCACAGAACTTGGCCACACCAAGCACATGATGATATAATTTCTTCATTTGCAGATTCACCTCCGACAGGAACCATAGCCTCAGTGAGTCATGACCAGTATATCAAGATATGGCAGTGATGCTTTGTTGCATGCCAGTTTCTATGCTTCTTGGTTTAAGACTTTTACTTGGGACAAAGCAAGAAAACATTATTCTTGATTTTGATGAGGGATACAACTATTTACCTGGAATGAGTTATTTGAATGGCTGTATCAGCACAGAAACAGTCACAAACTTTGTTTCATAGTTTCAGACTCTAGTTAATCTTGACATTGTACTCCTCTGCCCTATTTTATTGTTTGGAAATTGAATTTAAAATGTTAATTAGACTTGTCTATTAAATACCTCATATAAAAATTTAATCTATGGATAAAGTAAATATCGCATCAAAGTTTAAAATAGAATAATTAAATGTATTTAAATTCTTAAATTAGAAAGTTTGTAAAAACAATATTATTAGTTAAAATGATAGCATATTTTATTTGACATAGTTCTGAATATTTTTATATCTCATACATTTTAGGGAGTACGTAGTATTTATTAGGTATGATTTGGGATAGGGATTGTATTAAATTTTTGAAAATTTTACTACTTATAATTAATCGGTAGGATTATGAACTTTTGATGAAATAGAAATAGGATCAAACAATCAATTCAATAACCTGATTGGGCCGATTCAATTTACTTGGTATTCCCATTACAAATTCCAAAATCTTCCTCACTGTTCTCTTACTGCTTTTGGGGGTTAACTATTCCCAATCAAAACCCCAGCACTCACAAATCACACACACACACACACACAAAAATGGAGTTGAAAGAATCAAGTAGAAGTGAAGAAGTATCATCGGCAAAAGCAGTACAGGTTGGAGCTTTGGCTCCTGGAATCAATGTCCGTATAGTTTTCCCCCTTCTCCGCAAATATGATTTTTTAAAACTTTAAATTCCTCTGTTGTAGTTGATTTTTCGTTTTTGGGTTCAGGGTCCTACAAGGAATACGCTAAAGAGATGCATTTTTAATGCTGGGTTTGTGTCTCGCTGTTATATTGGACTTGGCTTTTTCATCAAGTACTTTTCTTCTTCTTAGCAGGTATGTTTCAGCTTTTGTTACTCAGTGTTGTAGACTTGATTTGCATTAGTGTATAGTTATTTTTGCGTACATGTTAATGTACTTGAAAACTGTCAAGTAAGCTTTGTATAATTGGATTAATCGATTTGGATAAAATAAGTAAATAATCCTTACTTTGGAGGTGATTTGAATAGATTCCCACTTCAAATCTTTGATTTTGTGTAGTACTTGGAAATTGGAATAAGTGATAAAATGTCTGAATTACAAGATCATATAACTAGTTGACAGCATTTGTTGGATTATTTCTTTGGAAAATAAAGTTAATATCTAGGACAAAGAAGGGTTTTCCTAGACTCATTAAGACTAATGATCATCCCTAAGGTGTTCCATTCCCTTTGTGCATCATCTTCTCTACCAGCCGTAGAGACACACATATTTCATTTTCCTGGAAATATAAACTGGATAAAGTCAAAGAGTACTGCAGACAAAGTAAACATTATTTGTCAGTTGACATGGTCTAAAAATGACTTCCCTCACTCTTGGGTACAAGTTGTCTCAACTCTTAATTTCATATCTATTCTCCAACCAACACTTAGACATTATAATCAATCTTTAGTATTCAAAAATTTCATAAAAAACTATCTGATTTGCTAACATTATTATCAATCTATAATCTAAAAAATTCAGAAAATATTTGAAAAATGTTTGGAAAATGTTTCCATCGTATCACCACCGTAAATAAAAAACAATTAGTACTTACTGTCTATTTTTCCAAGATATTGTCACCATCATGTGATTAATCGAGGAATATAACATACACTTTGTTAATCTTCATTCTGAGATGAATTTACCTCACTAAAGTCTTTTTATGTCGAAATAGTTACTAAAAATGTTTTTTCTCTTAAATAACATTTATGCTAGAGCTAGAAATTGACAAATCATTAACATCGACATAGCGGCAAATAATAACATTTGACTTAATTATAATACTTATGATAAATGCACTTATCATGTTTTATCGATTTTAAGACTTATGGTAAATGCAGTTATCATATTTTATCGATTTTTAATCATTTTCTTTCATGCAAGAATCAAACTTTACATTGTTTTGGTGCCTATCTCAAGCCATTCCGATATGTCAAATGGGGGTTGAAACTGCCTTGCTTTGGAATCACAATTTCTCAAATATGGCATGTTCTTTCCTAGGAAGTAGTGTTGAAGACATAGTAAAGTCGATAAAAGTCTATTCTCTCTAACAAATTAAGTTTTTAAACGAGATGGTTACACAATCTAACATGATTTTTATTGTTGATACAATCTAACATGGTGACATAGCAGATAGAGGTCCTAGGTTCAAGTCTCACCATCACTTATTGTAAAAAGAAAGAAAAAGTTCACTGGTTGATTTACAAAAAAATACTCAGACCTGTACGTGAGGGAGCTGTTTGATACATAATTAAGTAAATAAAAGTATACTTCTTTAGTAGTTTAACCATTTAGATGAAGTGGGTTACACAATTTATCACCTAGAACCGGTGTTTTTAAAAGCGAAAGAGCAAAAACGCAATAAGGTCCATGGGACGTGAATCGAAGAGCGAGAAATAAAGTACACAGTTGTTTGGAATGAAGTGCACTATTCCGAAATTAAAAAATAGCAAATATATGTATGAATTTAGTATTATAATGATCAAATTGTAATTAAAAAAACTACTTTCAATATTCAACAAACAATAATGTCGATACAAAGAATTGACCGTTTGTCACTTTGCGTGTTATTGTATGAAGCTCACACATCTATGAAGTGCATGGCTTCACCTATGAAGCAATAACCCATTTCTTTGGATAGTCTCATTGCTTTAAGCGACGAAATGATGTCTTGTAATAGCACTAGATGATTAAATGCTCCTTAAATAGAAATATGATGTTAATCTTTGCATAATATATAGATGTTATTATTAACTTACCACATTTGTAAGAGTTCATACATGCATGTTTGGAGCTAATGAAAGTCTTCCTTTATCGTAGTATGCGGCCCAACCGAACATTTTAACAAATATGAAGACATTTAGTTATGGTTTCTATTAAAAACCACGGGATAAAATCTTAATAGGCAATCCAATGCCTTCTTTTCAGTATAACCATATGGCATTCGGAACCTATTAGCCTGGCTAGTCCAGATTCACACCGCGTAGGGCCATTTAAAGGGAAAATACTCCCTATCAAGGATTTCTTCATTCCGGGGGCTCGAACCCGCGAGCTCTGGCTAAGGGGGAGGGATCCCATCCATCCCACCATACCCCTTGGTGGTCCAATCCGATGACTTAAATAAAAATAACATATATTTAACAAGAATTTAATTTCTTACTTACGTTATACCATCTTATCAATCTTTTTTTGTCTCAGATTATGTAATAAGAGTTTGCATAATCACAATGGCATGACTTTTATTGATATAGATTACTTGACTACCATTTTTTGGTAACTAGCTTTCGAAATTAATTAGTGGGATAAAATAAAAGAATGTATGACCTTCTAAAAGCGTAAGTGGTTAGCAACAATTAAATCACATCTAAATTAGATCATACCTTTTAATCTCAATTTTCAGTTGTCATATAATCTCAAGTATTTCAAAATTATTCAATACCCTTATACTTCTCTAAATTGATTGATTACTCCCTAATTGTTACTCTTTACACTACCGTGAAAATATTGTTTTTACACTATCACGATACTTCATAACACGTAACAAATAGCCTACAAGCTTGACAATGTAGCATAAAAAGATTGTAGATAATATGGTTAATAAATTAAACTACACGAACAGTGTAAACTATTTTTATACTTTCAATTCGGATGTGTTAAATCAAAATGGGAAAAAAGAAGAAGAAAAAACAAGGGGTGAGAGGGTGTTTCTTCTTGAGGTATTTACGAGTTTTAACCATCTTGCATGGAATTCAGCTCAAAAATTGCTTAGAAACCGAAATGGTCAAAATTAACGAGTGATTGTCTAATTGTGAAAAAGTCTATTAGATTAGCTCAAATTTAAGAAGGTTCACTATCTTTTTTTGTCACCTCTTTTGGTTCGAAGCGTTAGGGTTAAATATTGGAGTAAAAGTTGTTGTCTATTTGTCACCTAAAAACGCAGGCTCGGACAAACAATTCATTCTGAGCTGCATTAACACGTCTTTATTTGCTTTTTGTGTTTTCTTTTATGGTACTTTCCATCAAAAAGAATACTTTACAAAAGGTAAAATGGTCAAAGGATAAAACTGTGTCATTGTCATTTTTACCACTATACTAGGGGCCACCATTTCTCTATTTAAATCAAGTGTTTTGCTTTTTTTTTTCCCTTACACTTTTGCATGGTACCGTCACCATTTCTCTCTCTCTCTCTCTCTCTCTGCATCTTCTGTGATTCTGTCTGTAATCCAAGTGGGATTTTGGTTCTTGAGACTCTTTCTTCATCTTTCCCAGTTGTTCTTGCTCAAATCTTCTTTCCCTTCCCTTTTCTGTGATTAAGTAACGCTTTGTTTTTGGAGATCATGGCTAGTTTGGAGGCTCGACGCTTGTAAGTTTTTATGTGTTTGCCAAATTTTATATAGCAAAAACTACTACGTCTCAATTGGTTTATACTTACATTTTTAATGATTGATACTCTTGATAATCTGTGCTTGTCTACTTTTCATTTGATTTTGGGTGTATGTGATTTTTCCCCTTTATTTGACTGGTTTTAGTCATGCTTTTCTTTTATTTGTTTGTGTTTTCCAGACTTGAAGTTGTCATTCTTAATTACATGGTTAAGAGAGGTTTCCATCAGACTTGTGAGGTATTCGCCAGAGAAATTAATGCTAATCCAAATCCTGTTGGTAAGTAACTCCTTTTAATGAATTTTATTCTTTTGGTGAGAAAAAAAGAATCCTATTCTTTTATAAGATGCTAAAAACTGATCCTTTAATGAATTAAGATATGTGTTTTAGTAATGATTGTTATTTACCTTAAAGGGTTGTAAAATTCTCATGCTTAGTTTTGTAATTCTTACATATGTGATATGACCATATGTTAGATTGCTGATCGTGTTGTTCTTGAAAAATTTTCTAATAAGTTGAGGTCATTCTCTTTGATTTATGTGGTACATTCTAGTTATCTATTGTAGGATGTTTTTGGAAGTACTGTATTAACCGTCCTTCAGTAATTTAGA